TACTCCAAATCCCTCGTCCCGTCCCTCTGTGCTGGACAGATTAGGGGAGGCCTTGAACGTTTCAATGTCTACCATGCCCACAGCTCCCTTTTGAGGGAAATGGCTCAGATCTTTTCCTTCCTTCCCGACATTACTATGTTCCTGGATTGTGCTTTAAGTGAAGTCAAAGCAATGACACTGGACACTGCTCTGGACCAGGATTCATGTGTAAGGCATAGGCAATCACTTATGTGCTGGACCTAACACACATTAGCTGTCCCCAAGGCAGGAAGAACCACCTGATGGGCAATGTCAGATTACTCAGTAAGGTAAGCATGGGCTTATTTGTATTTGTGTTTACAATTTCACATTTTTTTCACCACATCCAAGATTCTGCTTCTAGGTATGGCTGGTATCTGTCTCTCCCCCAATCCCACAGCACCTTCCTATAGAATCAAAGCCTCTTTTCAAATGTGCAATCCCTGACAGGGACAGAGTAACCTGTAAGCAAGGTAAACACAGGCATAGTTTGCTTATTAACTAATCTGTAGCAAAGCTTTACATGTTTTTCATGTGGTGAACCCATTTTGCATGTGACAAAACCCAGGTGAAATTTTTACTTACAGATTAGTAAGCAAAAGTAAGCCCATGCTTACCTGGCTTATTGGGTAATCCGTCCCTGCTGATGGGATTTTCTATGTATCTGAAATTCTTCATTTTAAGGAAAGGTTCTCAATTTTCACATATTAGAAACGAGACTAGACAGGAATGACTATTATATTCTGGTGTTGGGGAAACAGATAAAATTCAGCCAGTTCAGAGCCTAAGAATTCAGGCTGGCTTGAGTCCTAGGACTGGTAATACAAATCTTCAACATAATGTATGCCTTCCCAAATGGCTGACCTCTCCAACAGAAGGTACTAAAAATAATCCCTGTATCTGAACAGGCACAGGGTGATTACAAATTATAAATGATTAAAATGCCATTCTTTTTTCAGTCCTACATCTTTGCACTGTTCCCTCTGCAAGAGCACCTGTCTCTTATTTGCCTGAAAAAGTAACTCTTTGAAGTTCAACTCAAAAGCCACCCCCCTCTGCTCCCAAGGTGGCATGAATATATCTCTATCAATGTCAGTACCCAAATACTGTTTACCTGCATTCCCCTCCTGCAAGATCATTATGAGAACTTGAAGGGCTAGGATCAATCTTTGTATCCCAGTTGGCAGCAGAATACTTAGCACATCATCCAAGATGCAACAATTGGCCTCTGTTTCCATGAGCAACAGAGGAAGGAGACCCAGGCATCAGAGAAGCAACTGGACTGCAGGACTAACTGCATCCATGAACCACTGCATCCTGTGCCATGAGACCATAATAACCAGATGGTGCCCAGCTACCATTACTGAACATTTTGACTAGGGACATAATAGGGACTTCAAAAGGGAGAAAAACATGGAAAAGAATTCTAAATTCTTAAAGATCCCAGTCTTACTGGACCCATTGAGACTGAAGGAACCCCTGAATCCACTGCCTGTCTTATCTTTAAAAACCTTCCACCAAAACTATTCCCTGAAGTCATTTTTAAACTAAACAACACATTAGCTCAATTAGTAAAAAAATGCTTGCTTTGAGCATTGCATTTTTTAAAAAGATGCTATATATATATTCAATCCAGTTGACAACAGTAACTCTAAAAGCACAGATGAGAAGGGGGTCTGTGAGTCTTAAGTTAATGGTGGTAAAAAATTAGAAATAGTGAGATTGTTGACACAAAGTGAAGAATGTAACCAACGTCACTGAATGCTACGTGTAGAAATTGTTGAATGGGTACATGTTTTGCTCTTATATTTTCACCACCCTCCCCCATTTTTTTTAAAAGGAATACTTGGCACGTAATGGGCACTGATTAAATGTTTTTGTGGACAGGAAGAGGTTCCCAGGCCAGGACTACATCTTTGTGATCTCACCTGGGCAGGAGATCCAAAGCATACATGTATCCTCTAGACCATCAGCCCAACAGAATGTTCCACAACGATTAAGATCTTCTACAGCCATGCCGTTCAATATGAAGCCACTAGTCATCTGTGGCTACTAAGCACCTGAAATGTGGCTAGTGTGAATGAGGAATCAAAGCTTTAATTTTGATAACATGTAGAAAAGTCACGTGGCTACCTTCCTGGACAGCAGACCTCAAGACTATGCTTCTGCTTAGAGTGGTATTTTATGGCCCTGCAATTTAACTCCGTATTTTTTAAAGACTGAAATATTTGGTATGCTACCTAAAAGCAGATCAAACCTTAGACCCAGAATGAAGCAGACTAAAGTGTATCATCTTCTGCAGAGGTATCTGCAGACCCAACAATCAGAGGAGAGTCATTTTTATATCACAGATATAGGAGCCTTTCAGGGACACCAAGAGGCTACTCCTTATATACATTTCTGCCAAGGCCTTAAGTTGGTTAGATTCTATCTGTCTTTCAGCTCTACACTCCTGACTTGCCATTCTCCTGGCCTTTCTGAAATAACCTAGATGCTTACGTGTTAATAAAAAAAGAAAAATACAAGGCCAAGAAGTCTGTCTCTGAGAAGATACTATGCTACTCTATACACAAGTCCTTTCCTAAATTTCCAAGAATATCTATCTGGATGTGTTACAAACTCTATGAGATAAAGGAGATCTAGCCATTATGGTATACAACATCTCCACATCAGGAGAAACATGGTTTCTGAAACATGTGCTAAGGGTGAAGGGAGTTAGTTCAAGACTGCACTGCACAAAACTAAAGTTAGCATTCTAGGAAAATGCAGGGAAAGGACAATTTGCCAGATTTGAGCATAGAGGCCACAGAGAAATTAGTATATGAAGGCCAAAGTACAAGAGAATGCTGTGATTCATGGTTTCAGGATTTATTTAGGTGTGTAGCAAAGCCAGACTTTGGACTTTTCTGGATTTGTGTGACATTAAAAAAAAAAAAAAAAAAAAAATTGAACATTGAGACTGAATCAATAGCCATTTCATACATTAACTTACTATTTCAAACTATGATGGCCCAAACAGTTTTTTAACTGACCTTTTCAAATACTTTGAACCTCAGGTCCAGAAAAATGGATTAATCATGATCTTTGATTCATGACACTCTTAACACTGACTCACATATGGCCTGCTTTTAAGCATGGGGTCCCTGGGTGAAGCAGTTACCAAGCTCAGCTTCTAATTGAAAGGTTAGAGGTTCAAGTACACCCAGAGGCATCTGGGAAGAAAAGCCTGGTGATATGCTTTGAAATATCAGACACTGAAAAACCCTATGGAATGTATTTCTACTCTGATACACATGGGGTCATCATGACTTAGAATCAACTCAATGGCAACTGGTTTTTATTATAATCATTTCGAAACTACTAACCCATAGGTACTACTTACTAGCCCATCCCCTGACTCCTCTCATCTAAGGATATCTTATATCTAATGAATTAAAAGACTGGCTTCTTCCTACTTTTAATGCCTTTATCTTGTCTTACTCTACTGACTAGGATCCCCAATGCAAGTGTGAATATAAGCAGTCATTTTGGGCCTTTGATTCTGACTTTAAAAAGGAAAGAATCAGTTTCCTCTTTTTGGAAGATGTTTACTTTTGTTTTTCGGTTATTTATTTGCATAGACATTATCAGCTTAAGGAAAACCCCTTCTAGTCCTAAATTATTAAGCATTTTTATCATGAATGGGTGTTGAAATCTTACTTCATATGAATCTATGGAGATGGCTGTATTGTTTTATTTTGTTAATGTAATAAATTATATTTATAGATTTTAATACTAAGTCATCCTTACATATAAATAAATGAATTTAAACCTAGAAATATATATAAAAAAATACTTCTGTCATCTGCTAATATTTCATGTTTAGAAGGGGCTGGCAGCCAGGTGCATTTGAAAACCTCAGGAAAAAATGATCTCTTAAAGGTCTTTCTTCTCTATAGCTTTCCAACTGCCTGTCTGAACTATGCTTTTTCAGTTGCTCTAATTGTATCAGGGAAAAAGAAGCTTCTACTAGAAGCTAATTCAGTGTGACAAAGGCAGAACAGGGAATCAGACAAGGGCTAGAAAAGGGCTAAGAGAAGTTCTTGGCTTTGACATAATGCTGACATCTTCAATTTATAGGAATATAAGATCACCATTTATCATCATTAGTCATAAACAGAAGTGCGACAGACACTAACAGTATTGTTACAAAAGTAAGAAAGTACAAAACTGAAAGGCCAAAAGTCAAAATGAACTACCAGAAACAATCACTGAGGGGGAAAAAAAAAATCATACAAGGAGTGTTCTGGTTTTCCTTTTTATTTAATCAAAGACTGGTGAATAAACATAAATACAGCACAATTACTTCAGATCATTCTTCATGTTGTATACACACAGACTGATGAATGTATTCTAAAAGAAACCTGCAGCCATCAACGAAATGCATACAGCTTTTCCTTTCCTTGCTCAAAAAAATTGAAACCACACAAACTTAGAATCTCATCAGCACACACTCTCCTGTGACAAATGATTCAGACATAAATAGTGGGTGCAAAGAAACTATATGCTAACATATGTATAACCTTTGTTAATGGGCGGGGGGAACAACCAAAAAACAAAACAAAACAAAACCAGAAGCAGCCATAATGATTAAGATACATTCAGTTACTGATAACTAGTTGTGCCCTAAGGGGCATTATCAAAAGAGAATCGTGCTGCAGAGAAAAGCTATATATACATACACAATGAGAAAATAAACTGCAAGATTAACGCATGCATGTTTAATACTGGAAAAATCACAGCCCTCCAAAATTGCTCCATGTTTGTTATAAAAAGCCCTCTGCACTCAACTAAAATTAAAATGATCTTAAAAGGATAATACTTGTAAAGTTTACTTAAGTCTTTTCAGCCACAGAAACTGCAATGGAAATAAATGTTCAGAGTCATTTTCAAAACAAAAACAAAAATCTATTCTTCTGATGACATGCATGATTAAAAGGTCTATGCAAGATACATTGCTCTACATTCCCAATGACTAGGAAAAAAAAGCTCAAGTCAATTTTTAGTTTGCAGATGGTCAAAGGATTTTGTATTCCAGCAGGAGTTCAAATCTTCTGGATCTTTTCACCAACAACTACTGGATTTTCTTTTCTGATTTTCTCAGCAGCATCAGCTTTGTAATTGTAAGAGCAATTGTGTACATCTGAGTAACGGTGTACACCACAGTAAACATTTCCACACCGGCATTCAAACCCTGGAAGTAGATCAATATATATATGTAAGCTGGATCGAAGGTCTAAGTATTAAGTTCCTCTGCTTAATTAAAGTGAAACAGAATCATGTATTTAGGGTACCAATCTAAACTAGAGATTTATTCTAAATAAGCTAACTAACAGCCTCACAATCTAATGAACATTCTCAAAATTCACTAGCTGATAGCTTCATTTTTTGCTTCTATTTACAAAGGTAAGTCTTCACTGGAACAAGTCATAACCAAGTATCTGAACTCAAATTTCTTCATCTGTGATATGGTCAAATCTACTTCCTGTCAAAAACAGGGTGGCTAAATTGAAAATGTAAAACATTTCTCAAAGCCAAATACTATTATGTGAAAATAAGCACACTGTTACAAAACAATCTTAACATTTTAATTAAGACCAAATAAAATCTTGGCAAGAACTGTTAATAACACATTATCTATACTGTTGCAATTATTAATTATTATTAATATTATCCATGTTAGCTTTCCTTTGCCAGCTTCCAATGTACATGCAAATCCTACTTTGGTGTACTGATATCAAGCATGGGATCTAGAGTCAGGTTGCCTAAGTCTGAATCCACTTACTAGTGAAGGCAAGTTACTAAGCCTCTCTGGGTCTTAGATTCTGCAATAGTATCTGTGCAGTAAGTTACTGTAAGGATTAAATAAGGAATGTTTCAGGTGCTTCACATATAGTAAGTACACAATAAATACTATTTATTTTAGAGAAATCTCCAAAGAATTGAAGTCAAAGAGAGACACAAGGGGTGTAAATAGCTTCTATGTAAAACAAGTCCTGCTCCTCCAAAATTAGGTTCTTATGGTAGAATGGAAGTGTTGGAAATGCAGCCTAGGAACTAGTATTTTAAAACACAGCCATTTAACATTAAGTTCCTTTACCACATTTTAACTTCAAAAACATTATATAACTTCATACTAATGAATAAGAAAATGAAGCCAAGAGTAACACTAATAAACTGACAAGCTTTTATGTGAAACATAAAATGAAATGAAGATGACTAGATCTCAGTCTTCTAATTGTGAAGCCAGAGTTTATGAGACTATATTTGATATTAAATATGGTTATTTAAAAATACCTTGTTTATTCACGTCCATATTCTTTAAATAAACATTATTTGCCAAGATTTGGGGTTAAAGTATGGGCCAGTTTTAAACATCTTTATATAATAGACTCTATTATCCTTCCCTCCTCATCTCCAACCCATTTGTGAGCCAGAGTACTTTTCCAAAGCATAGTTTTACTCAAACTCTTATCTACTCTCCTGCACCCATAAGTCAAATTTTTATGTAAAGCATAATGCCTGGCAGAATCAATACTCAATAAAAGGTAGCCATCAGCTGCGACATCTCTGAGTAATGAGAACTGTTAACATGTTTGGCCACTAATAGGAAGGGTGGAGGTTTGAGTTTGCCAGTCTGCCTCAAAAGGCTGACTGTACAAGTCCACCCACAGGTATCTTCTAAGAAAGGCCTGCTGGTCTACCTGCAAAAAATTAGCCACTAAAAACGCTGCGTGGAGCACAGTTCTACTATGACACATATGGGATTGCCACGAGTCAGAACCAACTTGATGGCAGATGATTTTATTTACAGTTACAATTGCTCTTCATCAATTAACTGCAGTACTCTTCGTCAGCCTTCTCTCTCTGTTCCTGTCATACAACCACCTTCTTCACTTATTAGGTATTATAGCTAAATGCCCCTCCATGCTCCCTAAATGTGCCCTATTTTTAACTTTCTTTAAGCTTTTCTTCATGTTATTCCTTTTGTCAGAATGTTCCTGTTTCTATCAGTTACAAGTCCTACCCATCACTAAAGACACACTGAAACATTCTGCCTTTATGATATTTTTCCTAATGGGCCTTCTGTCCCCTTCTTTTATGTAAATTAATTAACTCCTTTCCCAGAATTTCATAAGTACTTAATAATCTACTTTCTTTACTAAATACTTTCCAACATTTTTTCCTCCCTTTCCTAATAATAATGCCATCTGACAGCTATGCTATAATAGAAAACAGGCATTGTTTATTTATTCTGAGGCAGCCCTGGGATAATTCTTTTATATATATTAACATGTTGAATCCTGACAAGCTTATAATCATACAACTTTAATGTGAAATTAGCACCATTTTACATATAATAAGCACTTCCAGCTTGCCCTGTACTTTAAAATATTCTTTCTCATACCCAATTTCTGGCACCTTGAAGGCAGGAGCCATCTTTATATCTTAACAGCTCCTGCTACACAGTAACCCTACAGGACAGAGTAGAACTGCTCCACAGGGTTTCTAAGTACATAAAGCTTTATGGAAGCAGACTGCCTGACTTTTCTCCCACGGAGTGGCCAGTGGGTTCAAACCAATGACCTTCCGTTAGCAGTTGAGCACTTAACCACTGTGCCACCAGGGCCTCCTTACTTATGAAGTATTCTCAAATTCAGACGAAATCAGTTTTTATAATAAAAGCTATTCATTTCACTTGAAGTCTTATAATTAAAGCTATTTTTTATTTCTTTAAGAAAATACAGAAAGTGAAGTATTCCCAACATTATCTCTCATAGGAACAAAAACTATTTCAATTGAAGTCCGTCATAGTAAATCAGGCATTATTTTAAAATATAATCTTAATTTTAAACCATTTGATTTGGGTCCTTACCAGTAAGTCCCACTTTCTTCCTGCACATGAAACAGCGATTCTTTTTTTGTTTTGGTTTTTCAAGAGACTTATTTTGCTCTTCAGATGGCTGCTGTGCTGTATCTGGTACTGAAGCTGACAAAAACAGAAAGGAGGTAAAAATTATTCAATAAGATTGTCATATCTGGGTGTTTAGTGTCCCCCTACCTCATCTCCACCAATCCTTGTTATTCAGATGATATCTGAGGCATTATTTATTAGAATGGAAGGATGTTCATGTTAAACTACAAAGTAGCTTATATAATGTTGTTGTTGTTATGTGCCGTCAAGTCGGACCCGACTCACAGCGACCCCTCCTTGGGTTTGCAAGGCAGTATCACTACGGAAGTAGATTGCCCAACCTTTCTTCCGAGGAGTGGCTGATGGATTTGAACCGCCAGCCTTCTGGTTAGCAGTCAAGTGCCTTAAGCACTACACTACCAGAGCTCCCAGCTTATATATCAGCCCTTTAAAAAAATATATATGTATACACATGCAGAAAATAATCTAGGAGAATATACATATTGACAAGTTAATAGTGACTCTTATAAGGTGGATCTTATTATAGGTTAACTTCTTTTGGTTTAACTGTTATTTTCTACCAATAAAAGCTACACACATAAATATGACTTGAGTATTCTAAGGGACTGTGAAAGAAAGCGGCCCTAAGTATACTTGTAAACATCATCCAGGGTCAGAACTATATAGATTTCTCAAAAAAGAAAAAAGTGAAACCAAGATTCTGTAGAGTCCTAAGAATGTTTAAAGTTCTCAGAATGTTTCACATAAAAGCTTTAAAATGAGCTTTAAAATGTTAAGTATAAGATAAATTGATGTGTTTAATTGCTGAAACCAAGGTCACCTGCCCCAAGATTCAGGTCAAATTACTGCCTCTAACTAGTGTACTCGCCATCCCCACACCCCCCGCCCCAATCACCCACTAGTTTGGCTCTCCTAAATGCTGTCACCAGTTACTGTCCATAACAAACCTTGCAGGCATCATATCTTGCACTACAACAGTCAGTGGCTTGCCATGAATCAAGTTCTTAACCTCTTCAAATTTACCACCAACTAGTCTTTTCTCAGGAATTCATTGCAGAACCATTCTCTACTGGGAATACGCCATACACCTTTGCACACACCTTTTACAATCTATTCAAAAAGACTTCCCTTCTTTGTCTATCTGATCTAGGTCCTTCTCTTCTTTAAGGCTCGGCTCAAAACCTCCTTCCTCCAAAGAAGCTTTCCTTGTCTCAGTCCTCTAAAGCTTCTTACTCTACTTATCCTTAACATTCTTCACAGTCTACCAAATAGTGAATACTTCACATGTGACCCCTCACATCCTGCATCCAGTCTTAAATGAAAATCCTGCCTTAAATGAAAATCTAACCATGTCCTTTCTATTGATTAAAAAAATTATGATGGCTCTCCACTAGCCCCAGGATAAAATAAAGCTCAGAGGTTCTTCATGATTATCTTTCTCTCTCCAGTCTCTTTCTCATCATTTCTCAGTAACACCTCCATGTTTCACCTTTCTATTTGAGTATTCCCTGGACATATCAAACTCTCTCTTACCTCTAGGCTTCTGTACAAGTTTTATTTTTTACATGGAATACTCTTTCCCTGGACTTCTTGTCCCTGTTTTCATCTGGCTAACTCTAATGTAATCTGTCTTTCTTGTTTAAGTTTATATCATAAATTCTTAACACTACTCTCTCCTCACCTCCAAACCTTGGACTGGGAAATCCTAACTATGTGCCCCAAGAGTACTTTACACATTGTATTATCCTTCTTTGTTTGATTTACTCTGACTTAACTGTGAATTCTTTGTGGGCAGGAACCTGTCCTTTTCAGTCCTTAACAGTGCTTACTTACACAAGTGCCTGCTGTAGCAGGCACTCAATAAATATCTGTTAAGTTGAATTATTGACTGATTGACCTATTTTCTTTATAAGCCTTGCAACTACACTGTAAGCCCACTGAGGAGACAGGTGTTATCTTATTCCCTATTTGAATCTCCAGTTCCTGGCACAATTACTTCACATAGCAGATGCTCAAACATTTTCTGTAACGGATGTTAACTTACTTACATTAACACATGACTTCATATTTTAACACAGTAAGACAAAAGGCAAAATACCACCAACTAACAAATAAATATGTACTACTAAAAGATTCTATAGCATGACTACTCCACTTATGACAGGCTGAAGCTAGAAGGAAGACAGTTCCAATATAAATATTTTCTTTTTTGAACAAGAATATGGACAAATAAAACTTTTTATTTTCAAAAAATATCCTTAGACTATAAGCTCTATGAGGGCAAGGGCTATATGCCTTGCCTACCGTTTTATTCCCAGCCCCCTTCTATTTCCAGATACCAGCTTGAAATGGTATTGAAATGGAAAAGGGAAAAAAATAAATGTGTCTGCTATACATATAGATCTTACTGCATACATCAGCAAAGACATTTCACAATATTAACCCTAAGTATATGTGTAAGGCAAAATGGTCTCTCTTTAAAATGCAAACACACAACCTTTAAAGTTAAAGATCAGTAGGTAATCTAAAAACTTATAAACTAGGGCTCAAATCTGGAACCAAGGAACATCAGTTATATTCCCATGAGATTCAGGTGAATTCAGTGTACCTAAAACTAGTAGCTGATAGCCTGAATTAAAATATTTGCCAAATGAACTCACGGGCAAGATGAAACTTGCTCTACAAAAGTCTTTGATTTTCAGAAATCCCATTTCCTCAGTTTTAGATGAAAATTTCGTATCAAAGCATACTTTACCAAATTCTAGTTACATAAAGAAAATTAACTTGATCTTTAAAAAGGGCCATACAGTGGACTAAAGGGCAAAGGACCATAATCTCATTGAGCCTGAAGCCAGTAAGTCAGTTGGCTCTTAACTAGCTAGTTTTTCATATTCTAAAATGAGAATTGAAAACAGAGATAGGTGATGCCTATGTTGAATCCACTGGTCCTAATGGTCTATCTGGGAGGCCTATGGGATAGCATGAAGGCTGTGACATTAACTGCACAGCACATGCTAACTTAATTTTTATGAGAGTCTCAACTAGAGAGTGTCGACTGGCCATTACTGTTAAGATACTTCAAAAAGCACTGGACAGGTAAAATTAGTTTAACTACCCACATGGAGGATCACATTCCAGAGGAACAATGCCCTCTGCTCTGGGTCCTGAGGAATAAAAAAAAAAAAGGAAAGAAAAAATGTACAAGTACAACAATAAGTACATGCAACTAAATTAGCACTATCTCTGAGGGCATATTCATAAACGTTGTTGTTGTTGTTGTT